CTGTTGATGGATACAGAGGAAGTGTCAAAAAGAGGTCAGTTAAAATTTAATGTTGGCAGAAATGATTGTCTGCAAAAGTATGCATAATCTTCTAATGATGCTTTAAAAGCTTAGCTCTGTCTTAACACTTACTGTTTATTTAGTCCTGAGAAAATACTTAAAAGCCATGAAGCAATTTTAAGAAAACATTTGTAAACAACTATTTTCTCTTGACAGACTATTTGGCTATGATTACAGATATTATGCCAAGATAATATATGTAATTCAATGAATCCAGACAATATTGAAGCAAATCAACCAGTATTATTTTCCATCTCTTTGAAACTGAACATTCAAGCCATCTGAACTTTCAATGTCATTTGGCACTTCAGAGAAAAACTTCATAAAATACAGCCAGCCCTGAAAACCTATACTTAACTTCTGAGTAACCTCCTGACCTTTCACAGAAGGATCTCACAAAGTAGATCTTCAAGAACATTATATAAACCATAAATGTTTTTAATTAACATTGTTAAAGGCATGCTTATATAAAAGTCTTATTTAAATTCCTGGACATTTCTGTCATTTTCAAAGTCCCACATTTTGTAAAAGGAGATGATTTGCTTTAACCCAAGTTCAGCCAAAAATTACTCCATACACAACACCTATTGAAAGTTTCAGGCTTTAAAAAAGGATTAAATATTATTTTAGGAGCTGGTTAAAGAGAGGTATATGATGATGATTTAAAAAAAAAAAAAAAGTCATGACCAATCTTCATTTTGGTGTCTGGAGTCCATTTGCTGTTGCACTTTCACATGTTCTGACTCTGTCTTTCCAAAAATTCTCACTTTTGTTCCCCAGAGAAATACAGCATAAAGCTCTACTAATTTTTCATCAGGTGCTGATTGAAACCAGGATTCATAACAGCTGAGGCAAGACAAATTATATACTTGAGCAAGTGAACAGAATTAGAAAGAAGCGAATCAACTATTTTATTTCTCTTTGCTTTCCATCAATAGCCAACTAACCAGATGCGATAGCACTTGGGATTGCAGTGGTCACTTTGGTCAACAAAGGTTTGGTCTTCCACAGGGCAATTCCTCTGGCTGCCACGATAAGTGATCAAAGCAATCAAATGTGCTTCAGCACTGAGAAAATGTATAATTAATTGAGCTCATAAACTTTCTGTAAGTATTTTGATAGACTAAGGCCAAAGTGTTTGCAGAAGCAAACTTTAAAGCATGCTAGGAAAAAGGAATAGTGCTATTTTGAGTAACGTGCCTCAGTAAAGACTAATGAAGAATTTCACAAACCTGCTTTATCTGTTGTTGACTGTCACAATTGACTAGTAATTCAATAATCATTCCCAAGAAGGATGACCATCTTGCAGGGGTGAAAAATGCATATGTTTTGTTAATCTATATTTAGCCTAAGTATACTTAATACTTTTCCATCTTCATTAGTCCTTACTGAAATTTTTGTTCCTCTCTTACTCGCTTCCACATCTTCAGGTAACACTCTATACTGCGTATCAGGTAGCAAGCTGACCTTATCCAGCTACCATGCAGTCTTTCCCTCTTTGTGTTCTCGTGTCTATACTGTATTTTCTCTTACCAGGCACAAACAATGACATTATATTAAACCATCCTACTTAAAATTATTATTGAGCCAAAGGAACACACTTCTCCAAAAATCAATGCGGAATCAAATTTATGTCTTGCTCTTGCTTAAAAAACAGCAATAACCGCAGTCCTTATTCTCCTGAGTATATTATTAATTATACATCTAAAGTACGTTCATAGTCTGTGTTTACTCTTGAGTGATTCTAAGGTTTATATGAATGAGAAAACAGTAATGTGATCATTTACAAGTAAAACAATATTTTCACTCTCTTGGCACCTGAGCATAATGAAAGGAAAAACCAGTCAGCTTTTACCTGGGTTTCTGTTTAGAAGAGTCAGCTCAAGGGGTAAGAGCAATCACTCAGGAAAAGCTAGAATGTGGGAAAAATGGTAAGAGACTCAAAAGCCAAGATGTATTGCCTAAACAATTTTTATTGCTTTTCTGGTGGACGTCCTATAGATATTTTTTTATTCTTAGCTCCCATAATCTCAGCAATGACTTAGAAACCGTCGTAGCAGCATCTACGGGCAAAAGAGATCAAATAGTTGAAATAACGACCACATAAGAGCGAGGAGGCAGCCAGAGGAATTTGAGTGCTGGTCATCACTGGCAAAAATCCATTCACGTGGTCAGAAATTTTTGCCACCTATGGAAAGCAAAGGACTGATAACTGCTCAGATCATGCTGTCAGGGTGCAGATAGTGCTTCTTCTAGGAAGAAACTCTCCTGCAGAGATACAAGCAACATTTTATTGAAGGTTATTTTTTCCTGATTCTCCATTTCCTATTCAGAAGGGTCGCCAATAGTTATTTTGATGTAATAACAGGTAATTCGTTCATGCTACAGCTTGTCATGCATATTAATCAGGGTTCTTGCCAAATTAAATTAGTTTTCTCAACATTCAAAAAGCAGTTAAACTTCTAATGACATTTTCCCCTGCTCTTCATCAACCTATTTTTGGAGCAAAATAATGTACTCAGGCCTGAAGTAAAGACACTTGAGCCTCAGGAATGGAAAAGAGCCACGAGCCAAAATGTATTCACAGGAGAGCTATAGGGCAATAAGGTTGTCATCTATGCACAAAAATACTTTCAAAGACGTAAACATGATGTTAAAATCCCCACCACTCCCTCCTCCACGTTAAAGTCACACACACTGCTTTGTGCTTGTGGTTATGAGCAGCATAAAAGGAAACCAGTCTATTTTCATGATTATTGCTACTATTGTAGCATTAGGACAGTCCAGAAACAGGGACTCAAGTGTTAACACCATATCCTTAACAATCCTGGTTTTCTTTATTACTCCTAGTATCAGAAATTAGAATTGTAAAAAAAGGCATTCTAATAGTATAAGTAAGTCGTCAAACCAGAGGTGCACGATAACACTAGGTACCAACGGTGCCATCTGTAGCTGAAAAATCTACCTGGACATCTATATTGTACAGATTAAATAAATAAATAAATAAATAAATAAGCAGGTATATAATACACTGAAGTGTTTTAAAGTTAATCAACTACAGTTAGGTTGTCCATAAAAATAAAACATTTCAACACAAATGGTCTGTATTTGGCACACTTGCAAACAATTGAAAACCAATTCTTAAATTAGTAAGTAATAACGAAGTATCTGAAAATGCTAGTTGAACTACCTTCTCACACATAACTTACTACATAATAGCATACAGTCATAACATATATATCTTATAATGCCTATCAAGGTACCCAATACCTAGTAAATTCAATGCTAAAGGGATATTAATATTTCACACAATATTTGCTTGCCTTAAATAAAAGTAGGACTTAAAACCATTTGAAAGACTGGGCAAAAAAAATCATCTAGGCATGTTTTTGTTTTTTCCCTAGCTTTGTACTGCATAAAATCAGTTAACCCAATAGCCTAATTTGCATAGATCTCATATAGCAATAGAAAAGCATTTTTATAAAATTAGAAAATGACTGTATAACCACAAAGCTCATTTCTGCAGCTAATACATGTTTGTTTTGTTTTTTTTTTAAGCTGATAATATTTCGAGCGGAAAACATTCCTTTAACTAAAAACTTATTCCAGGCTAGAAATATTATTATGCACTAGGTTAACCCAGTGCTCAAAAGTTTTAAGTTAAACAAGCTTTTGGAATTGCCTATGTGGCAATTTTTTTTCACTACAGCAAATTGAGTAATAAACATTAAAGACAGATGAAAATCTGAGATGTCCACCACTGAATGTCCAATAAAAATAGGGTCAAATAGATACATGGTCCAGCTATGATTGTCCAGCTGGACAAAATACCGAAGTGTTTACAGTGATTTTAAGATATCTGCTTAGTAGGAATCAGGTAAAATGCAAGCCAGCTCTGCTTCTAAAATCCAAGCAAGGATTCCAGCAAGGGAAAAAAACCTACCAGAAGGCCCTTATTCTTTTTAATAACCTCAAACTTCTTCCTTTGGCAGTCAGAATACCAGCATGTGTTAAAGATCTAGAATCACTTTTCCCTGAAGAACTAGCCTATAAATAAGTCACTTAATATCTAATGTACATGTTTATTTTCTTCAACCATACATTCATATATCCTGTGAACATTCACTTATCTGTATTTGAATCACTGCCACGTCAGTATCACTTAATGGTTACACCGTAATCTCATCAAAATGCCCATTCCCAAAACAACCCACAAACACCTCGATCTAATAAGCGAACACATCTTTATACTCTGTTGCCCTGATAACAGGGACTTGATCTCTACCCCCAGATTAATACAGGGATGGAAGACCATTTCCAGGTAAACAGCAAGTATCACGCATTCTCTTACCCGCCACTCTGCCAAGCGGCACAACTCCTATTTTATGCAGCTTCTCCAAGTCACCGTCACCTGAAAAAGCTGGCAGCACTGGGCAGCTGACTTGCTGCATCTACATGCTGCTGTGCATTCCCCTTGTCCATTTAACATGGCAACTTGTCTCAGCTCTCAGACTTAAAGCCAGAAGCTTTTCAGAGAGGGCAGTGTTATACATGTCTGTGTGTTCGGTGTCAGCCACCCAGCTGGGGTTAAGGACTGGTACAGACAGTAAGGCTGAACTTCCTTGGGATCATTTCCACTATTTTTCTGAGGTAGACTGCTAAACAAACTACAAAACTCAAGAAAAAAAAAAAGTGAAAATGTTTTTTTTCATCCACTGCCTATCTCCTGATGATATGAGTGTCTGTTATCAACTCTCTCAAATCTCCCCATGTTACAATTATTTTAAGTAGGGTTGCAAACAAAGGCTTTTTTTGTGATCAGGATACATAGTTTGTCTGAAATTACTTCAAGCTGTATTGTGAACATCAGCTTCTACAGCTTGGGTGAGATTCATTATCTTACAGGAAGAAAAGAACATATAAATACAGAGCAAGATTACCTTCCCTTAGACGCTCAACCACAAAAGTGAATCCAGTAGTTCGCGGATGTAAGACGTACTCGTATTTTTTAAGTCCGTTCTTTTCAGCGAATTCATTACTGCGGGCTTTGGTATTGGCTGAAGGAGAGAATAAAAAGCACCATTTTCTATTAGTGTGCATGTAGCCCAAGAATTAAATATAATTATTATACAACAGGAACAGTACAACAGCAGTTCACACAGTACGAATGTGCAACAGGTTTTCAGGTGGAAACAGACTGCAAGTGTGCTTTCGCTTGGCTATAGTATGGTATGAGGAAGAGCAATGTGGATTGCAAGAAAAGCCTTTTTACCCTCTCATTTCATTGTAGAAAATAATCAGCAAATCTTTCCTATTTATCAAATGCAATCTGAAATCTATAAATTAAAGTCTGTTAATAGTTCTCTGTACACTTCAATATCCATTTTACAGTAAAATGTGTTAATTGGCTCAATTTTTTTTTTTTACTCAAAAGGCACAATATCTAGTAATGTAAGTTTGATATTATGTACAGAAATACCTTGAGGTCAATGTTTAACCACGTTGAACTTATTTCAGAAAGAAAACATGAAATGGGGTAAAACCGTTAATCTAATACATTAAAATGGTGTTTTACATCTTCATTCTGAACTTGACACATTTTGTTCGTCAACCTGCACTGCACATACATGCCCTGTTTTGATTTTTTGACCAACTGCCTCAGTGTCACAACAAATGCTTGCTACTGTACGCAGAGTACACGCAAGGCATCTGGGAAGCGGCGTGGCTAAACCCTGCGACGGATACGTTTTGAACCTCTGGCAGAAAAAAAAGACTCTCACGAGAAAGCCAAACAAAGGCTTTTCAGAGCCAGTTGCTAACAGAGCCCACTGAGCCAGGAAGACGTGGACACTAAAGTGAAAACTTGTGAAGACGGGTGGAGAGGAAGCCATTTGTTCTCCAGTGATGTGCAGGAGGCTCTTCCAAGCAGCCACGGTTAGCAGCCAAACGGACTTTGCTGGCTACCCTTACTCCTTCATTGTGGGTACTGCTGTGCCTCCTCTGGGGCCAAAAGGCAATGGACACGTGCAACGTTCCCTTGGCAACATGGAAAAAACCAATTTCATCAACTAACTTATTAAATAACTTGCATTTATATAGTTTCACAGGTGTTTTAAAAGACAAAATCCCAACAACAGATCTATGGAACAAAATCATTGCCTAAGCAAAATATCATCTTGTTCAAGCAGAAACAGCTCTTTTTTTAAGTGTCCACAGTTAACCTTAAGAGAGATGGGAGATAAAGTAATGAAAAACATATTGCTGCTTAGTAATTTAACAGAACTGATACTTATAGGTAAGTCCTTTCCCTTACAATCATCATAATTTTTCCTGTAAAGGAACAATAGCACAAGTGGACAAATCAACAGCAGTGCGAGATGTCCTTTTTGCAGTAAGGCAACTTTCTTGCATCTTTCTTTTTTTCCTAAATTACATGAGCTCTTTGTTTATCAAAAAATGTGGATGTCCCTCCTAAAGGACCAACTACCTATTAATAAATGCTAGAGCCTATCAGCATACCAAGTGTTTTTTCCCTGTGACCTATTGTTTCCGTGTGTAAGAGTACTGCTTTTCATACCTACAGCCCTGAAGACTTAGCGCACAGATTTCCTGACCATGTGATTTGGAGGAAAACTGTTGCACGGTAGCCAAGCAAGTGATTCAGCAAAGAGAATTCAAAGATTTAATTCTTGCCAAATTGCCAAAACGTACAAATACTTGAAAAATATTACATCTTCAAAAACTGTTGCTAAAATTACAGAATGTGTGAAATACTAGAATTACACTTGGCTATGTAACTTAAATTTATCTTTCCTTGGACATATGTATTATGTCTTTAACCACATGATCAGAGTATCTATTTTTGTCTGCTCAACTACTACTCCATTCAATGTTGAAAATGGAGTATTCTGAACCAGCGAAGGGAACTTGCCTTTAGGATCCCTACCTCCGCGACAGCAAAACTTGCAAAGTGAGTCATGAGCAAGACTTGGAATGGCAGAAAAGACAAGAGCAATCTGGTAATTATTAAATGCTCCTCTGAAAAGCCAGATTCTACCTCTTAGACATAATTGTATTGCACTATTAGCTCAACAACTTAAACTGTTTATTTTCTAAGAAATGACATTGATCACCAAGAATGTTCCTATAAAATGTATACAAGTCAGGAGTTCCTTTCCAGAGTCTGTGGTGATTCAAGTAGAATGCTTTACATGAATTTATCACAAAGTTTTAAGCTAATGTATTGTTTCTTCCAAAGGACAGAGGAAGTGTCATCTTCATTTTCTGCATATCCAAGTTTGGGTTTCACATTGGAACATGTGCAGTCTGCAAATCACGTCAATCGAAGCTTTGAGACATAAGTGCCGTAAGTGTCTACACAAAGCTAAGCAGTCTAAAAATATAATAAATCTAAGTCTTAAGCATCTCAAACTGCACATAGTTAATGAGCACTCAGAAAAACCCTCTCCGTATGTCTGCTCACTCGCACTTTGTTTCAGAGGGAGCATGAAAATGAATTCCTTGGTGTTTCCAAACGCTCCTACTTGCACCACAGGAAAACCAAATAGTAAATGGGCAGTTTCGTTTTCTGAGCAAGACCTAATTGATACTGCAAAAAAGGTTTGGGGCCTCCACTGCCCATTGCCTTGAAGTAATCATCTTCAAATCTCCTCTTAGTGCACCTCCCTGCACTTGGAAAGAACTCACTGTAAACATCTGCAAAACATCTTCCAAATTTCCCTTTACTACAATGCCTTTCTAAAAACATGTGAACAGCTGGATATTGGCACACCGGCCAACACTATTCAGCTATTTCCGGATATTTGTATCCCTGTCTTGCCTCTGGACTATAAGTTTTATATAACTGAGATTGTTCCCTTCCCCTTTTGCATGACCCTAGTGTAATGGGATTTTAGAACTAGAATAACGTTCCCAGCTAATACAGTGATCATTGTCATCTGGAAAAATCATCTCCCTCTTCCTAACAACTATCAAGCCACAGGTCTTTGTGCATTAAACAATATTTATTACAGCAAGTCAGGAAGGTCAAAGGGGTTTTGATGCTATTCTGAAAGCAAGGGTAGGATATGCTTTCACTCTACCAAAAAGTAAGAATAATGCCCTTCCTCCCTCTCCTGCTACTCTCGGCATTTGAAGAAAACAGTTTCTTCCTCTGCTATGACTTATGAACAAATGCACTGACTGCCATCTTATCCGATGTAAGCACTTTGGTGCCTACTGCTGTTCGGGATCCCTGCGCGAGACACCTGTGCCTCAGCCTTCTGGGGGAAATTCAGAGCAAGTCTCGTGGCTCAGCACTGGATTCAACTAAAGGCAGAAAATGTGATGCTCCCCATCATATGAAACCTAGAGGTTAGAAAACTGATCCAGGAAATTAGAAACCCATTTTTATATCCTCTCCAACCTAAGGGCGTTCGCACAACAAACACGTCTTTAAAATCCCTTAATCAATAGACCAGGCTACACTGGCAGAGCTGCAAAACTTATGCAGATGCCTCATCATTCTGCAGTCCAGATTACAACATTCTTAGGTGTAAGAATAAAAAAAAGTGAAAGATGCCTTTGTAAGCCTGATAGTGAAAACACTTCCTTAAAAAGAGGAAACATATGTTCCCTTCTTTGCTTCCAACCAACTAACACAAATTGCATAAAGCAGCTTTTGAAGCAGGGACTGGAAATGAACTCTGTTTAGGTCTCCCCAATCCCAAAACGTCGCTCACATCATTTGGCTAAGGGTGATGTCCCCTCTTGCTCACTCTCTCTGAAAAAGATGAGTAAGCATCACTTTCTAAAAACAAGTATTTTCTTTCTTACACTGTATTTAAGCCAAAGTAAATCTACCCCCAGAGTTTTTGCTCATCATTCCTATTAGGTGTATTTTGCATTTCACTCCTTGGTTCTATTTGCTCCTACGATAAAAAAGAATAAGTAGAATAATCTATTTTTGTGGAAAGCAGCCAGTTTATTAATAGAGGGTCATGTGGAACCTTTCCTGATCCAGAACTGCTTCATGCTGTCTCTTCTGGTCTCACACTGACCTGCCTCTCCTCCCTGTCTCCTTCAGCTAGTACATGCTGCCTCTCAGAGGGTACGTTCTTTGGGGCTGTGACAAGCACAAGAAGTCAAACTTATTTGAGACTTTAGACACTACAGCAGAGCAATTGTCAAACTACACAAAAGAACAAGAATTTAAAGGTTCTGGCTATAACCTCTTACATTTTTTTTTGCTCCTGTGCTCCCTTTGGTACATCATTTGATTACATTTTTTCTTATTTACCTCAAAATTACGTGGGCAAATCCTATTTATCAGATTTTTAAATTATTTGAAAAGCTCAGAAAGTCAGCACTTTCTAGAAGCACCACACTTCAGAATTTCATTTAAAGTAACTGGAGGAAGAAACGATGCTAACATATTGTCTTCATTTTTTGAGTTACAGATTTTTAAGAAGTTAAATTGCTTTTGCCCCTGAAAACCATAGGATACAATGAACAAATTCAATTTTTTTAGAAGTCAAATTATATTTTTTAATTTGTGAGCTAGTCTTGAGTTAAAACAAAAAGATCTCTAGAATTCGACTTTGATGGAAGCCATAAGGCAGTAACAAGCTGCATTCGTGTGAATCTGAAGAGTGTTTGGAATTAAAACTCCAAGCCTTGTACCCAACAAAAAGCTAAGTCTGTGCTCCCCATGAAATACGTATGCAGTATTAGCTCCTCTCAAACAAGCTCACATGCTTTTACAGATTCAACATTGTCCAGGCTGATTTGTTTTGCTGGACGTCACCCAAAAGAATTACGAATTTCCCTCATCATCCTACTGGAAAGCGGATTCTGACAACTTTAATACAACTATTTCTGAGAAATCCTGAACTACTGTTTTTTGGTGTTTTTTTTTTTTTTTGCTAGTACTAGCGCACTGAAATTTCAATATTAAGTACTACCTCTCCCTTAATCTGACTTGTGATAAAAGCATGCATGTACTTCTACGATTTCGAATTACTCTGAAATGATATCGGTACCAGACAGTGAAAGAAGAAACGAGTACTCCAGAAATTTCTCTTTTAAAAAACCCCCTCATTTCTCTCTCTGGTAGAGGTTTGCATGGAAATCATAAAAGCTACATTGGCTCACAGTTGATATTTTAAGAAAAAGTCAAGCAGTTGTTCTTATTTGTGCTATTTTCTAACTATTACATGTTAAAGCTACCTCTACCAGTATTTTGAGCCATATTTTTTTGCATTACCAAAGTACATCATATTTACTAGAAAAAGAGAAAAATCCAATTGCAGTTCATTGTTACCTGCTAGACAGAATACTGTATTATTCCTGCTAAAATCTGGGCTCTAGCAAGCTTTCCTACTTTTTTTTTAGCTGTTCCTCAAGGAAGAAAGGTCTGTGCAATCACACTCTGTCCACCTGTTCCCCTTAACTTCCGAAGCTATTGCCACTTGCAAACAAAGTTTGCAAGGTCTGAAACCCCACAGGACCTTCAGAAAAAACAATGGCTGAGTAAAGGGAAGCCTCCAAGAGTAGAGATCTTAAAAACGGGAAAAGCCAGGGCAGGATCCGCAGGTATTTAGTCTGTCAGGGCTTTCAGCACAGCATGCAGCGGTCTGTCGGTTAAGGCAAGTATTGGTGAGGATGAGCCACAGCACACGATGCCTCTTGCTGAGACAGCAGCAAGAGATTTGTGAAGGAAACATCACACAGAAGGAAACAGAAGGAAAAAGGAGAAGTTGGAGTGAAGAAGAGACCACGTATAGGGATGCAGACACAAATCCATAAGAAATGAGGCTTTAACAGGCACAGAGCAACACAGCAACTTTTTTTTGTTATTGCTTTCTGAAGAATTACTACAAAGAATCTTGTAAGCAACACCAAGAAAAACAAAAGAACAAGCAAAACGGTGGGTGGTATTCCAGCTTTCCAGAAGCACTAGACTTATGGTTGCTTTGCCTTCTTCAGGGCTTCAGAAAGTCTGGCTATATGGTTATCTGCTGAGGGCTTCTTTTGAAGCAATTACAATAAAATACCTTTGATGCACTTAGCTTTAACCTTGAAGTACTCCAGAGTGAAAAGATGACCAACCTATCAGAAATAAGTATATAATTATTACCTCAGACCCTATACATCCAGTCTGCAAATACATTGTTCAGGGTTCATGACATTACTATTTCTAAAATTTATTTACGTAGCATCTTCCACTGCAAAGTACTTCACCAACTTGAAGTCAGGCAGTGGCTCGTGTACAAATACAGTCATACTTCACATCTCTTTGAAACCTTTCATTCTCAAATACCTGAAAACATTATATAATTTCTTATAAAGAGGAGTAAATCTATCATTGTCATGCGGCCACTGACAGGATAAAAAAATGACAGTAGCACAGAGCTGCACAGCAATTCTGCTTTTCAGTGAAGTACATGTAGAATGTTATTTTTCATTTTAAGCACCGGAAGAATTTTGTTTTCACAAGTAATTAGCAGTTTTGGAATTTGGTCAGAAAACAAAAGCCATTGCCTCTATTTTTGCAAAATGTTCCCTAGGATATTGAGCAACCATTCAGAACAAAACTGCGGTTTATTTCTTATTCTAAAAGATGGAACATGAGGTTGCAATAGGTCCTAATACGTCAATAACGTAACAGTTTTCTGAAACTCATTTTTTCAAAATGTTACACAAAATACATTATTATGTTCTATCATTCTCATATGGCGTAAACGTGTTGCTTGGTCAGGATTAGCTTGTCAAAGGATTTTGCCCTGTCTCCTACAATATTTTAAAATACATGAGCTAATGTTTCCTGTGAAGACAATTAGATACGGAGAGCTATTTACTTTCACAGAAAGAGCCCCGGGGTTTTGCCTGTCTCTGTACATCTTATTATGCACAAATACAATATGAAGGTGGCATTCATTACTGATGGCAAGTTAGAGTGGTAAACACCGGACAGTTTAACATGTCAGAAGCCAGCACGGCTGCCCAAGGAAGCAGTGCCCTTTCGTCTTCCCTGCCCACCACTCCGTCCTTCCCACCGCACTGCCTCCTCCCTGGGCTGCTCAGCAAACCAGGGGGAAATGATCACCACCCATCTGTGGTGGCTTAAACTGACTTCAGAAGAACAGCACAGCTAGCGCGGACATCCGTTCGACACTGCAAAGTTAAAGAGTACGTGTTACACACGTATGAGGAAGGAACACCAGAACAACAGAAATATCTTTAAAAAAAAAATCTGTCAAAAATCAGAAATCCAATTAGAGGATTTTTTAATATTAAGTGAAGAATCTTGTCTGCATTAATTTCTCAGTGGATGGTACCAACAGCATATACTTAAATTTAGTCTAAGTCATTTATATCAGTTACAACAGCAGAGAGAAAATCCTGTGTTTCCTTAAGCTACTCCACATTCAGGTGGGAGCATCCCCACCACTGCCTTTGGGACTCTGCAGCTCAAGTGTTAACACACCACAGCTGTCTCAGTCCTCAGTAATTCTTCTCTTTTAAAACTGCAGTATGAAACTTCCTCAGTTCTGTAAAATATGTTGTCTCTGAGGAATATTGGGAGGGATTAGAAGGTATACATAATTTATGGAATAAATTACAAACAATCTAATTCTTTCAATCATCTTGAGGTTAAAACACCTGTTCAGAAAGAGAGTGTGAGCGACCCAAGGAGGAGTCTCCTGACTCCATGAATAATATTAACATTTCATCTCATAATTCAGAGCTAGGAGGGGAGCGTTGTTAATGAATCCAAAGGAAAAAAAATTAAAGTGAGCTAATTTCCATCCTACTTCCTAATTTTAGATACAAAATAACTAATTCAACAAGACATATCACGTGAAGCGGTCCAAGAATGTACAATGAATTTATACTGTTTTAGGAAGGCTGATCAAGTGATGACAATTCCCTATAGTGTGATAGCATCTGAATACTATACATATCCATTTTTAAGGATATCGGGAATACAGAAGAAAAAATAGCAGTATATGTCAGTTATTCTTATACTGTATCTAGTACTTACTGATCTGGCATTGCAATAAAATATGATTTGACAATATCTGCAAGGGAAAGTATAGTAAAAATCTTTTAAATAAGCTAAAAGGTGGAAGTTTACTTGTAATTGATTTTCTAGTTAAAGATGATGCTTATCAAATCATGCTGCAGGCATGAACCACTACAGAACACTCATACAGTGTTTTCTTTTATCAGCAACTGCGTCGTCTTCAACACTGGTTAGCAGCTTGCTACTAATGCCATAAGATACCTGTATTGAGGTAGACATTTTATTAAGAATTAATACTACAGGATCCAACTCATTAAATTTACTCTTATGATAATGTCAATATTTGTTTTCTTATAGAGGCAGACTGCTTACGTGGCCTAAGGAAGAAGTACCTCCATTTTCTTCTCTTAAAACATTAGGCAAGAAATCTAATAGAATCATTAGTTGTCCTCTTCAATCACTCTTCCATAGGTCTGAAATGATTTTGCACTGTTGGCCTCAGTAAGACGGGAAACGGGAACATGCAAGTGATTTAATCCAGGTCTTGAAATCTACTTTTGCTAATGCAATGTACACACAGTACTGACCAATATAAAGCCATTTCAACCATCAGATGCTTTGAAATGTAACGGTTATTTCAGGAAGACTGGCAAAGCCTCCCAGTGGAACTACGTTTGTGCCTCTCAAGTGAATCAGCATAGACGATCATGAACTATAGCTTCCACTGTCCATGAGAACCCAGTCTTGCTCCTGCCTTGAACTTTTTTTAACTATTTCCATAAACAACAAAGAATTTCCGCATTGAACGCTCCATGAGAAGATGACAAATGCAGCCTACCTGTGAGATCAGTTCCTTCCGGAAAGATGAGGAGTTGTAGTGGTTCATGAATGTCACAGAAATAATCCAGCATTTTTTCAAAGTGACTCTTGTCATCTTCCCACTTTCTCTGAATGAAAACAAAGGCAGCAACCTGCATTGCCCAGCCTAAGGTTTAAAAAAAAAAAACAAAACAAAACCAAACAAACCAAAACACCTTTAGTAACATTTCACTCTGATACTTCCACAGTGTCTGATATTCCAAAATATTTTTTAAATTGTGTTAGACACAACATTTTATTTACTCTCCACCTGTCCTCACCTCTGATTAAGAGCACTTAGTTGCCTTGTAAAAGGAGTTTTGGACAGGAAGCAAAAGAATGCATAATCCAAATAAATGAATCTAAATAAATTTGGAATGGCTACAGTTTTGCAAAACTCAAGTTACAGAGACAGAAAAGCTTTCCAGAAAGCAAGAATAGGGTCAATGCTGTCATGAGGTGAAGTATTTAAAACCATTGCACTCACTGTAACATCATCAGTCATTGCAACACTGATTTGCTCAAGGGAAGGCGCTGCCCCTACGGACAAACATCTCAGCAATGCACCGCAGGATATAAGAAAGCTGCACTATATAGAGATAGTTGCCCTTAGTAGTGCATGTTAACCGTGTGCGTTGTGCAGAAAATTTCTATTGCTTTGAGGGCTTTATTACATATACCTTCTTAAAATTTTCATTACTAATAGAAGAAAATAAAAAGTTGTTGTTTACACTTGATTATAGAAAAATTTGATGTGTATCCATTTGTATTAATACACAAGACAACTGTGAAGATTTACAGCCTGACATCAAACTGACAATGTAATGCAGTTAAATAAATGAAATTGCTGCTGAGCCCGCAGCTCCGGGGTCACACGCCGTATCTTCAATAAACATTCTTGGCTTTTTTGGCACAATTTTGTATACAATAGATCACATAATATTAGAAGTTCTGTCCACTAGTTCAGACAGCAGGATGAAAAAAATCAGGGCTGCAGTTCTGCCACATGCCCGTGGTGCTCCTTTCTTAAACAGGGCTCAGAAGAGCATGACATTGCCTTACCACTGTACTTGGCTAGCCTGTATCTCGTCAGAAAACCTGAAGACAGATATTCCACATCAAAGAGAAAACATCACAGCATCCCATTCTCCTCTTTGCTCACCACAGTTCTCAAAAGTCTGTTTTCCCTTTGCTGGTGACTTACAGCATGTTACTCTTCCACTTTATTTCAGCTCCTCTTTACAGGGATTCCTTTCTATTCCATTCGTGGCAATATCTTACAAGGAGCATATGCTAGAAAATCACTTATTAAAGTCACCAATTTCTAAATCAACTTCATAAGTCAGCCTGGGTAATGTATGAACCAAGCTGCGTAATCTCTTCTGTATTAGACAGGAACATTAACTGTATTGTTAAAGATTTCTAACCTGTATCATGGGGTAGATACTTTTTAAATCAACTAAACAGATGGAGCATGCATAACTAACATGCCTTCTTCAATCTAGACCTAATGAGTCTCAGATAGTCAGATAATGAATGATATCCAGGTAACTGAATACTGGAAGTGGTTATATGAATTAAGAAAATAAATGCTCAGAATGCAGTCTCAGCAAATCCTTTCAAATTTGCACGCTGTACTTGTTAAAAACCCTCTGTAAACAAAACTAATCTTTGACCACAACATTTTGTATGCATCTATGCACATATCACATTCCCACATCTGCAGTGTCAAGAAACATCAGTACAGCTTTATTAATAGAGGCTATCCATGCTTAAACAAATTATTTGCAGGAAAAAATAAAGGTCCATTTAAAAGTAACTGAAAAATAACTTACGTAATTTAACTATGCTCTCTTCCGGCATTTAATCATCTCCTACTGCTACAATACACTTCATTACAATGGTACAAAACCAATATTTTAAATTGAACTAATCAAGGCTTCATTTTCACATTTTCATTGTGTTATACGAAGAGGACATCTCTTCATACCAAATGTTGCCAAAGCATCCCGTTGCCTTAGAAGATACATGGAAATGGCATGAAGCTGCATCAGGGAAAGTTCAGACTGGACACTAGGAAAGGGTTCTTCACTGAGAGGGTGGTCGGTCCCTGGAACCGGCTCCCTGGGGAAGGGGTCACGGCACCAAGCCTATCAGAGCTCAAGGAGTGTCTGGACAACACTCTTAGTCATATGGTTTAGTTTTAGGTAGTCCTACGAGCAACAGGGAGTTGGACTCGATGATCCTTATGGATCCCTGCCAACCTGAGAAATTCTATGATTCTATGATACCTCATCTGAAATCAAATTCATAAAAATGGACACAGTAAAGGAAATAGCCCTCTAAGCAGAAACAGAGATTCCTTGTACCATACCATTTACAACTCTGAGAATGTAGATGCTCCATGGGACAGAGTGGAAAAATACAGAGATTAGGAAAGTTGTGCTGTGGTTTTGGTGTTTTCCAGTCGTTCTTACCTCTCAGCCCAGACCTTTTGTATGTTTTATGTACCCTAGACACTATGCCTAAATTAGTTTATGCAAAACCTGTACTGTGCTAAACCATTTTATTGTGTGGTATCACACATCAGACCTAAATTATTCAGTCCTTGTGTTCTCATTGCAGCAAAATCTGTAGGCAGAAAGAAGGGAAACAAGAAGCAAAATAAATGCTCACTTGGGAAGCCTGCTGATACTTTCCCAGGTCAGCAGCTCCTTAGGAAGATTGATTTTGGTCCATAATAGGGAAGGAGCATGGAAAAAATGTCACTGCCAGATCCCACCCTCTCCCCTACCTTTCTTCATAAAGCACAAGGCTTTAAATTATATGGAAACTTGCATAGAAACTCTTTCTAGCGATCATTCTTCAACAGCACTGTGAATATCAAATTACAATCACCTTTAGCTACTAAGAAAGCTGCTGCTTCGGTGACTCGTATTTTACCTGACTAAACTGGTGTAAAGCAGAGGATATAATGCAGTAGTTTCCCATTCGTGTCCTAAGTGGTGGTGTCATATACAGGCTATGAAAAATTAAACAGAGGCAGTAATGTAATGACAGTAGAATGTCAGGGAGGAGGAAGAAAGAAAGAGAGGGAAGGGAGTTGGGAGGCATCTAAAATAAACAACAGGTTTGATTTTCTAACCTTTCCAATAGATAACATCCAGTGTTCTGGAAAAATTTTTCTATGTTTAAGTGTATATCTAGTTAGATAAAACAGTCCTGACTGTTCAAATAAGAACAGATTATCTGACAGTCAGATGACTAATAGTAAAGGACTCAGGTTTTCCTCCCCACTTACCCCCCAGCACAGCACACTGCGCCAAACTATTTTACCACCTATGAAAGTGGAAGAGTCTTCCACATTTGCTCAAGCTTTAAGGCCTCCAGTGAAAGGCAACAGAAACATGAATTACTGCCTTCAGCCAAAACCCTGGTCCATGCACTGATGAGGAGAATGCCTGCTGTTTACCTGTCTCACCATCTCACCAGGTTCAAGCGGGAGAGGAAACCCAGCACAGGCTTGCAGACACATGCCTTTGAACAAAGCAAAAGCAGATCTCGCTTTGATTTCCATTCCACAGTGTGTCTGCATTGTGCTGCTGGAAAAACAACATGTAACAAGTCCGAGGCAAGACGTGGGATCCACATGGGAATGCACAGAGAAACAAGAGGAATTCAGTAAAGCAATGGGCAAAACGGTAGGTTTTGCCAATCAGCAAGATTTATGATTAAGCAGCAGAAGGAAGTACCTTCTCATGTGGAGCCTGCAGTGAGACATGCTGGTCATTTAATTATTGTTAAGTTTAGGTCAACGTATTGTCCAAGAAAAGTAATTACATTTTGCTTTTTTGCACAATGGTTTGGTCATTTAAAATCTCCCAGGCAACAAGAATCTTCCTAGCAAAGGCAGCATTTACTTGACTGGGGAAAAATGATTATCTTTTGATTTGCAGATTCTTGAGAAATCATCAGTTATAAAAATACAGCAGAGGAACAGTGAAGCTAAAGAAATCACAACAGTGCAAGTCCACTTCTTTGCTAAAACAGTCTTCTTGTAATAGACAGCATTTCTGATAACTAACATTGCTTGGAAAAGTATACAAAAAGCATCACACTGCACAGCTCTTGTTCAAAACTGCAAAACAGCAGTACAAAAACCTACTACGTAGAGGAGCTAGTCACTCTGACCGTTAAATCAACTTTTCAGAGCTGAAAAAATAAAAAAAGGCAGCTTCAAATCTCAAGTAACACATACACACTAATGATACGTATTCCACACTTCAATAAGGCTTTATCAGGACATAATTCTACACAGAAAAAAATTATACTTACACAAAAAGGAAAGCCTGCTCTTGAACTACAGAAATGTGCTATACATAAGAATTTCCTTACTGCCTTGGGGATAAAGCAAATTATAGCTTATGCAGGTTGAGAATTTGCAGCATTGTATTAAAAATGCTAGTTGCAAGTATAAAGCTTTTCAAATTCTAAGACCCTGCACTTCTGTTTTCCCCACCCCAAAATCCTTTAAAAGAAAATAACACTTGAGGCTGGAATTTCTTAAGTGCGTCTTCATTGCAAAGGTAATTTGGGAGTAAGCAGATACTAGGGATGAAGGTGGCAATGAATAGAAGAGAGAAAGAGGCGAGTTGTGCAAAAAAAAGTCTTTGTTTGGTTTTGTATCACAATTTTATGTACATTTCCGTAAGTATCTCAGAAATTAGATATCCCCCAAAATGTCACGTCTCTGTAAGAGGAATATGATGGCTGATATTGAAAGCAAACATACACACATCAAGAAAATGGTATCTGTGTATTTCCTACAGCAATGTAACAGAATAGCTAATAACACGCCACCCCCACCACCCCCCCGCAAACCAATTCAATAAATGATTCAAAACTATAGAAACAAGTAGGAAAGTAGAAGGCCTATCTGTGGGGTTTCGTTATTATATTCATTCATCCTGCTCCTTTTCTTCCACTGCATTATTCCCTGGTTTTTCTTAGCATTATCTTGGTCAAAAATAAAAGCATTATTCAGCGTGCCTGTATTCAGCAGGGGTCTGGTCCTGATCAGTGCTTTTGAGGCAACAGTGAACCAGACGTCTAGGCTTAATAAGGGAA